TTATTTATTACTTTCTTATTCCTTCTACCTCAGACTCTGGGATCCTCTAATTTTCTGTCTTCCTCAGATCTGAGGGCCACCAGAAACTTTTCATATTTCTTACTTCTTCACTTTCCATGAACCTTTTCTCATTTGACATTGGTCATTTGGCATATATCCATGTTCATTACATCCATAGAAATAGCCTCAATTAATTTGAGAGCTTTTCATTCAAATGGAAGAGTATTCACTGTCAATAAGAGCAATAACTTCGCTATTAAAAACTCAGAATGTGAAACCAATTACTGCAAATGTTAGTCTCTTCCCTTATCCATCTTATTGGGCTGTTTCAAGATCTATGGTTAAAGCAATATGCCTAATTTTGAAGGTGTTGAAGCACGCAAGGATTTCAAGGATTTAATTCACAAAGCGGTTTACCTCTGTCCTTGCTTATCTGTTTCCTCAACTCAAGTGAAGGCCTTCAGTGTATTTCTAAGACAAAACCCTCAAGTCATTGTCCCTTTTCTGTTGTACATTTACATAGTAGTCAGACTTGGTGATTTTAACCAGTAGGGTGGAAAATCCCAGAAACCAGATGTGTTGGGGCAAAGGTTTAGCAGCAGACTAGATGGCACAAAACTGAGGCATTATAACCTGCATGAACTCATAAACAACACTCAGGTATCTATCTAGTTAGTATCCTCTCCTCTCTTCTCTTCTCCTTTCTTCTCCTCTCCTCTTCTCTCCTCTTCTTTCTTTTCCTTTCTTTCCCCTCCTTCCCTCCCTCTCCCTTCTTCCCTTCCTTCCTTTCTTCCTTCCTTCCTTGGCAGTACCCTGGGGTTTGAATGCAAGGTCTTGAGCTTGCTGGGTATATGTTCTTTTTTTTGGGGGGGGGTACTGTCGTGGGGCCTGAACTCTGGGCCTGGGCGCTGTCCCTCAGCTCTTCAGCTCAAGGCTAGCGCTCTACCACTTGAGCCACAGCACCACTTCTGGCTTTTTTTCTTTTTGCTTATGTGGTGCTGAGGAATTGAACCCAGGGCCTCAGGCATGCAAGGCAAGCGCTCTACCACTGAGCCACCTTCCCAGCCCCAGCAGGCAGATTTTCAGAGCCAACTCTTGATTCCTGTTCTTGGGCCTTAATACATTTTAGAAATCTTGATAATCACTCTGTGTCTTAGTTTCCCTTCCCATTCTTTCTAAATTTTGACAACATCACATGGCAAACATTGGGAACTATATTGTCAATACATTGAACTCCAGAAAGAGACTAAAGTTGATACAGTGGAAAGGGGTAGAACAGCAGGTAATAAGTCAAGCAGAAGACAGGTCACATGGTTGAAGGATGCATAGATAGATGACTAGTAGAAGCTTTTGGAGGGTAGAGAGGTCTCAGCTTAGGCAAGATGTCAAGTCAGATGTTTCAGGCAATTAAGACAGATGGCAGATAAAATAACAGAGTGTTTAGGGAAGGAGAGACTTTAGAGCAATAGAAGAGGTGATAACTAAGGGGGAGGTATGAGAAGATTATTTTGATTTTTTTTGAGACCAGGTCATGCTATTTAGCCCAGGCTGGCTTCTGCCTCATCCTCCAGATTGCTGTCACTATGGATAGGAACCATCACACCTGGCCAAGAGAGTGGGTCCTAGGCTCAGATAGTCTCCTCTTATTCCCTAAATATGATCTAAACTCCTTTGTTAGTGAATGAATTTGGCATTTTGACTTCTTCTCTGAACTAGATTATAGTTTGATTTCACTTGTAAATCTGAAAATGCCCATTTCTGGTCAAGGTATCAGTTACACAGTCTAGAAGTATAAGTGATAACCTTGTAAGACTTTACAGCAGAAAGTACATTTTCACCATCTCTCATTTGATCTCTGACCAATCCTGGGTTCTGGAAAGGACAGGTACTATCATCTCCACTGGCAGCTGAACTCTATGTGAGGCACCACAGGCAGCAGAGTAGTATAGAGGCATTCCTCATATGATACATGACATCAGTATACATACACATATGCACACACACACGCACGCACGCACACACACACGCACGCACACACACACACACACACACACACACACACACACACACACACACTTACTTAGCACTTCATCCCAGAGAGCTAGTTGAAGTATTAGAAATAGCACATAATGAATGCAGGTTCCAGAAATGCCATTATGTTTGTATAGGCTATAGAAATGGGGCTGGGACTGACTTCCTAATATAACTGTGACTGAATTCTTCTCCCATAGAAGCTTCTTCCAACAAGCAGAGCTTCATCACACCACCTCCTTATATAACTAGCTCCTTGTGATTGCCTATAGATATGAAGATGAAAGAATTTAATTTCTATCCTTCAGTCTCTCAGGACATACTACTGGCCTCAGGCTATCTTTTGGGTGTTAGGGGAGCAGATCAAGCAGGATCACTTCAAAACAAACTGTGAGATAGCTTCCACACTGCTGCCATGGCTTACTGTATATATATCTTTCTCTCCCTTATTATTACAGTAACTCACATCTCATGGTATGCAATAACTTATTAGGACAGGAGAGTTTATATATATCATATATATGATATATAATATAAATAATTATAATGTATATTATATAATATATGATATATATCACATATACTATATCTCATATATATTATATACTATCTATCATATATAACATATGATATATATCTTATATATAATATATTATATGCTATATATCATATATATAATATATGCTATATATCATATATATAATATATTATTATAATATCCTATATTAGGACAGGAGAGTTGTGATCTCTACCCCTAATGTGGCATTTTGACCTTGGAGATTTTATCTTGTGAGCATAACTTGTGACATACAGCCTGATAATTTTTAGTTTGATAGTCTAGATGGATTAATGCTTAGCAGCAAAGATGTCACTGAGAATTATCTATGTAATTCTGAATGTCTACTATGGGTAGATGAAAATTGAGAGTTAAAAATTGGAAACATGGGCTGGGATGTGGCTTAGTGGTAGAGTGCTTGCCTAGCATGCATAAAGTTGTGGGTTCAATTCTTCAGTACCACATACACAGAAAAAGCCAGAAGGGGCTCTGTGGCTCAGGTGGTAGAGTGCTAACCTTGAGCAAAAGAAGCTCAGGGACAGTGTTCAGGCCCTGAGTTCAAGCCCCAGGACTGGCAAAAAAAAAAAAAAAAGATTTGGCAACATAAGTTTTTACAGGCTGTTAACAATAATGAGAAGAGAAAGATGATAACAAGAAAGAAAAATAGAAGGGAAGAAAGGAAGGAAAACAGATGAGTGAAGGATAAAGAAATTGAAGGACAGAGGATGAGACAGAGAGAAAGGAATGAGGCAGTCAGCTTTTGGAAGAATGTGGCCTTCGAAGCAAAGGTCTGGATCCTAAAGTTATGAGAAGCCAATCCCAAGTGTACTAGTGGTAAAACAGTGAAAGGATCCTGTGGGATTGGGAATGTAATGAAGATGGCTACTATTGCTACTTCTATTTAGCCTGATAGTGTGTATGGAGTATGAAAGAAATATGTCACTATTACTTGATTTGTGTGCACAGAAATGCATAAAAAATTCTGAAGTGATTTTAGTAGGGTCTCAAGGTACAATATCAAGACATAACAATGTGTTTTATTTCTATATACAACCACAAATAAAGAGAAATGGAAATTTATAAAATTATGTTTTAAAGAAATATAAAAATCTTTGAAGCCTTTCTGAGTCATGTTTTTCTCAAGTGCAAAACTAGGGTCACAGCAACAATAATAGCACCAGCAGTAGAAGCAGCTGTTTGTATATATGAAGGATGTTTGACGTATAACCATCAGTCTCTTTTGTATACATTTAATAAATACATTTTCTTCACACTAAAGGCCATCTGAAAAATTATTGTTATTTCACACACTAATGCAACTCTTCATTTTAAGCAGTTAAATCTCCCAAAGAACAATATAGCATACATTGTTCTAAATGTTTATATAGACGATTTCTCTAACCTTCACCCTTTAATGGTTATTCTGAGAATTGAATGAAGCAGTACATGTAAAACACTTGGCAAATTGCCCTGTATATAATAAATTCTCAATAAACTAAGCCATATAAAAATAATCATTTTTTGGGAGACTCAGTCTCTGTTGTTAGTAGAACTAAGCTGCTGTTCATTTGGCTTAAGATTTGTAGAACAGTCACATATTGTTGTTTTAAAATGTTTAGTAGCTTATAATTCATTCAAGCACTGTACTTGGGTCTAAGAATATAGGAGGTAAACAAAAGAGTCAAAATCATGTCCTGATGGAGATTATGATTTCATAGGGAAAGCAGAAATTAATCAAATGGCATCACAGATTGTGCTATGAAACAAAATTGCAAGGACCAGACATTATGAGAGCATTAAAGGCAAGGAGTCTAGTCATGGCTAGAGAATGAAAGAGGCTTTGTTGCAAAACTGGCAATTATTGAGTTCTGAAAGATAAATGGGACAGGGGGCAGGGGTAAAAAAATGTTCCACAGAGATGGGGCAGTCTGTTTAGAAGAGGTGAAGGCTATGGTGAAGTAGGAGGAACTGAAGACCATGTCTAAGGCATTGGAGCCCAGAGAATAAAAAGAGCATTGGTGTACGAGCTGTGGTTACCAAGGAGGGTAAGAAATAGGTCATTAAGGCCCTGGAAGCTATTTAGCATTTTCTCATTCATTCTAAGAATAATGGAGGGCACTGCAGAGTTTTATGAATAGGAATGATATGAACAGATGTGTATTTTTCAGTGAGAAATATTGTATTTTGCCACTTCTGATGTCTATGGAGATTGAAAATCATGTTAGACTAAGGCACTATTAGTAGAGAGGAATTGGTAGATGGGTGAGAGATATTGGAGGCAGGTTGATGGGGCCTGGCATTGGTTTGGGTAAGGGAGGAGGGGTGCCTCATTGATCCAACTTGCAGAAGCCATAGTGGAATCTGAGCATATCCCCACTTAATACCCTGACTCTACTCTTGTCTGCTTCTATAGCACTCCACTTCCATGAGCATCATGGGATTTTCCAACACTCTGGAGATGGAGTTGTCATCTACGAGACTGGCAAGGACCCTAGAGCCACAGATCCACAGCGTGAACAGTCTGACAGCTGGTTCGCCCCAGGCAGTACCAAGCCTTCGAAGTGGCCCTCCACAAACGGTGTCTAACTTTTCAAGTATTCAGAGCCACACCATGCCAAGCCTGACAGCCACTCATCTACAGTCCATACCAAACCTTGTGCGTGGCACATACCAGTCCACACCCAACCTGATGAGTGATTCTCCACAGGCTATCACAAGCCTAGCAAGTGATCACTGTCAAGGTGGGCCCAGCCTACTGTCTGCTCACACCCAGGCTGTGCCAAGTCTGACCACTTACCCTCTGCAGAACATAACTTCAGTTTCAGACATACAGTTGGACAGTAGATCCAGTTCCAGTCCTGGCTCTGGCCCAACTTCAGAAAGCCTGTGCCCCAGGGATGGGGCTGATACCTCCATGGGCAATGCCCTATGTAAGGTAAGTCCCAGGGAAATGCCTTTACACTTCCTCTGCTTGTCACTGGGCAATCTTTGGCCACTGATGGTCATATTCTGGCTTTAGCTTAACAGCTCTGAGAACACTGATGACCAAAACAATTGATTCTTTTCATTCCTGTTGACTTTTCACTTTTGAAAGATGGAAAGTGAAGATTCTACTCGTTTCATTGATTCATTGGGACAAGGTCCCAAAGCCCCAAGTTTGGATGTGCCCAAAGACTTGGCCATCTCTTCAGAACTAGAGGAGCCAATCAACCTCTCTGTGAAAAAACTTCCTGTGGCACCAGTAGTTAGCACCGCTACAGCTTTGCAGCAGTACCAGGACCCAAAAGGTGAGATTCAGGTAAAGCAGATTGTCTTTTCATGTTGGCTAAAGACTTGAGAAAATGGACTCAGCACTTGCAGGTGAGACAGAAGTGGACAGACAGGCTTAAAGCCTGGGGACACTGCATCTTTCTGAGGTTAAATTCACTTGTCTCCTCCAGAAGTGACTTTCACCATTCTGTTTCCTTCACCATGGCCAGGGTGGTCCATGTAGTCTCCTTACAACATTCTGCATGCCAAAAGTCCCAGGGCTCCAAGTTTCATAGAAGGGGACCAAGAAGAACTCATCCCAAGAGGGCTAGCATTAACAGTATTATAGGTAGAAAGCATTTCTGACTTTGGAGTCAGACAGATTTAGTTGGGATACCAACTCTGTCTCTTTTTCATTTGGTCCTGGGTGAGACACCTGACCAAGAGCTGGTTTCTTTCTTTACAAATAGGATTAGTTTTACTGTCTTCATAGATTACTAGGACAAATAGCTATATTGAAAACACTTTGTAAGTTATTTTGCAGCAGTAAGAGTTTTCCTTGTACCCAGCAATACTGTGAATTTGTGTTGTGTCACATAGTAGAAAGAGTTTGGACCTTTGGAGGTAACTCTGATTTTCTTCTCAGCTCCTCAAATCCCTTCTTAAACTAAGCTAGACTAGAGGTTTCCTACTGTGGATGGCAAGGGCTAGTTGAGTAATTAGGAATTGAATATCTACTGATCATTTGCGACCTTTTCTATTCAGTATTTGAAGTATGTTTAATTTGCAATTATCAGTCTATTTTATAGACATTTAATAAATAAGAGAAACACATTTTCTCCTTTTTTCCTCACACTGACTAAAAAGATCAACGAAAAAATTATTGGTTCTTAGTATGTACAATAATGTAACCCTGCATTTTATGTAGTTAGTTTGTACTCTTTGCTCATGTAAAGGAACACAGTTAAGGATAACGCCTGATACACAGTGGGTCCATGTTCCTTCTTTTTGCCCCACCCCTGCCCGATACCCCTCTGTACAGACTGTCTTATGCAGGGCTCCCTGGAGCCTCTGGACCACAGAGTGGGAGCTGGATTCTCAGAAAATGCTAGAATCTTAGCACTTAGCTGAATAGGTAGACTACTCAGAATAACCTCTCTGAGAAGGTGAGATATCCTGTTGGGAACAGGTGATTTCTGAGTTCATTTTGAAGGTGAGAAGCTGGGTCCTCGATGCCTGATTTAAAACATACCTGTGGGAAACCTCTGTTAGGTATGCTTCTCTTCCAGGGATGGCGAATCTTTTTTGGAGCCTTCGATGTTCTGGTATATAAGACCCACAATACCATTCGGTACATGATGGGACAGACGTGTGTGCTTTTCATCTGTTGCCTGGGACCCATCTGCCTGTACTGATAATTCTGATGCTAGAAATAACCAAATGGCCCTTGGCAGAAGAAAGGATTCTCTACCCTTGACAGAAAGTGCCCTTTCTTCTCTCTTAGAAAAGAAACCCATGGTAGGATTGTCACTAATATGAATGATTACAGTGTAGGTAACAATTGTGTGACAGATGTGTAGTCAAAGGAATGAACCTCACAAATGAGTAGAAGGTATGACAGAACATGTTGTCTTGGATGTATATCACAGGTGTTTATTTGTCTTTTACTTTAGAGTATGAGAATTTTGAACAAGGAGCACTGGAGCTGGATACAAAAGAGAAGCAGAGAAGCAGGTAAAGACTTTTAGCCAGCCTCTCCCTCCCCACCCTCAACTTCTGATCCTGCAAGGTTGGCACAGGGAGCAAGCATCCTTAATGATTAAACTAAAAGCAGAAGTTTGCTTGAACCTGATTGGCACAGGGAGCACGCATCTTTGATGACTAAACTAAAAGCAGAAGTTTGCCTGAACCTGAACTCTTCAATTAGACCTTCAGGTGGGGGTCTATGTGGTTGGATGCCTGAGCTAACTGTGGTAGGATGTCTTCGATTCTGCATTGTGAGGCACATGCTGTGTGTGCAACCCTCACTCCACAGGGTACCCTTCCCTCCTTTGACTGGAGGTTTCCCAGTATCTGACAGGGTCTGACTAAGTAGAGCTCATCAGGAAGGCTGGATGTGGATCTGTAGAGGGTTGAATTGAGAATGTCTTAAATAGTTCAGGTATAGAATTGCAGATGAACCTGACTTAGAGGTTAGAGCCAGAGAAGGCTCCTGATCAAACGCACGTTTTTCTCTTACCACAGAGCTTGCAGTAATGAGCCCAAGATTCCCTATGTGCGACTGGAGCGACTCAAGATCTGTGCTGCTTCCTCAGGAGAAATGCCTGTGTTCAAGTTGAAACCCCAGAAGAATGAGCAGGATGGGAGTTTCTTGCTTGTTATTGAGTGTGGCACTGAGTCTTCCAGCATGTCCATTAAGGTATAACTTTTCTCTGCCTTGGATTAAGCCTTGGCTTTGTGTAAGGAGCCTCTCCTTTCTCTCTGATATTGCTAGATTTCTGGCTTTTGGGTTTTTGGAGTGAGGGTTATAGCTTTGCAGACTTTGTCCTGCAAAGGAGATGGGCAGCAGGAATGAACTGTCCAGCATTCATGAGTCTTGACTGGTTTGTGGTCCTGGTGTAGAAGGTTCTAATAGCAAGTGCTCAGTGATTGTCATCTCTCCCCTGTCCCTCAGCAGCTTATTGGAACTGTGCTGTAATTGCTCACTTATTTATTCCTCAAGGTCAGTCAGAACAGCCTTCCTGATGCCATCCAGGCCCCAGGTCTCGGGGGAAGAAAGGTCACTGTCACATCTCTGGCTGGACAGCGACCACCAGAGATAGAAGACACATCTCCTGAAGAACAACGTCTCATTTCTCGAACTCCTGGTAGCAAAAAGGGTCCCCCAGCCCCAATAGAGAATGAGGACTTCTGTGCTGTGTGTCTCAATGGGGGAGAGTTGCTGTGCTGTGATCGCTGCCCCAAAGTATACCACCTTTCCTGCCATGTGCCAGCCTTGCTCAGCTTCCCAGGGTGAGTCAGTCCCGGGTTATCACCTGGCTTTCAGTTACCTTCCTGGATTATATTATTGTTCCAGGCCAGGTTTGTGGAGATCTCTAGGCCTACAGTAGTGTGCCTTCTACACACAGACAGGTAGATGTTGGAAATCTGCTTTGCTTCCCATTGTCCTCTGTTCTTAGGTTCTTTATGAGCACAGATTTGTTTCTGTACTCCTGCCCAGCCTCTCCTAACTCCTATTTTTCTGGAGTTACTAAATCTTTTTTTTTTTTTTTTTGGTCGTGGGGCTTGAACTCTGGGCCTGGGTGCTGTCCTTCAGCTCTTCAGCTCAAGCCAAGCACTCTACCACTTAAGCCACAGTTTCACTTCCAGTTTTCTGGTGGTTTATTGGAGATAAGAGTCTCATGGCTATTACTGCCTGGGCTGGCTTTGAACCGTGATCCTCAGATCTCAGCCTCCTGAGTAGCTAGGATTATAGGCATGAGCCAGCAGCACCTGGTTACTAAATCTTGAGCTACTGAATTACTTTTAAGTTTGTGGCTAGGAAGCCATTCTCTTGGAGGCAGGGTTAGGAACTTAGTTTCCTACACCATCACCTCTCATTCCTGTTCTGGGGCAGAGGGACAGGGAAGAGTACCCTGACCAATGTTCTGAGACCTAATATGGCTCCCTCTGCCCATGCAGGGGAGATTGGGTGTGTACCTTGTGCCGAAGCCTGACACAGCCTGAGATGGAGTATGACTGTGAGAATGCCCGCTATACCCAGCCTGGAGCACGGGCACCTCCTGGCCTGAGCATATATGACCAGAAGGTAAGGAGGGATCTTTAGGAGTGAGGTTTTCTATGTGGAGCCACCTCCTGTGTCCACAGAGTTTGAGAGCCCTTCTGGGTACCTTTCTTTTGTCTGTGTTAGTCAACTTCCCATCACTGTTAAGATCAACTTAAAGGAGGAAAGCTGTGTTTTGGAAGAGAAGGAGAGCTCATAGTTTTAGGGGTTTCAGTCTGTGATCCTCATAGTTACTTATTGTCTGGGACTATGGTGAGGCAGAAAATCTTAGTAGGAAATGTGTAGGGTAGAGCAGAGCTGCTTACCTTATGGTGGCCACAAAACAGAAATGGGTGCCAGGGACAAAATATACCCTTTAAGGGCATGCCACAGTGATCTGCTTTTTCCAACTAGACACCCTACCTCTTCAAGGTTCCACTCTTTCCAATAACACATTCAATTATGAATCCACAATGGATTAATCCATTGATGAGGTCAGAGCCCTCACGATCCAGTCATTTCCCAAAGGTCCCATCTCTGAACACTGCTGCATTGGGGACCAAACTTTCAATTCAACATGTGAGATTTGGGGAGACATTTAAGATCTAAACTATCTTAAGCTATGCCTGACAACTTGACCTGTTTCAAGTCTGGGTGATTTTCCTTCTCACAGCAGTTTTTCTATGATCTGGATGTCTCAACTCCCTTAGTATGTGGCTGGAATTCTGTGGGACAGAGTCAGATAATCAGGATCACTATCTTTAGTTCTTGTTGAGCTAGGTCCAGAACCAAGTAACACTGTTGCTAATCCTTGTTTCTGCAGAAGTGTGAGAAGCTGGTATTGTCCTTGTGCTGCAACAGCCTCAGCCTGCCCTTCCATGAACCCGTCAGCCCTCTGGTGAGGAAGACCTCACTGTTTCTGTCTGTTACTGTCCAGAGACTTAGAGTTCCTAGGTTGTGGGGCAGGATTATGGTAATACCAAGGGTTGGCCCAGGGCATGGCCGCTGGATGTATTGATGGTATTAGTTTGTGGATGATAGGCCATAGGCACTCCAGCTTCTCTCTTTCCTATCACTACAACTACTGTATCATACCTAACTTAGAAATGACACATTGCTTTTATTCCTTTCTCTCTTTTTTTTTGTTTGTTTGGTTGTGGGGCTTGAACTCTGTGCCTGGGTGCTATCCCTGAGCTCTTCAGCTCAAGGTGAGCACTCTACCACTTAAGCCATAGTGCCACTTCTGGTTTTCTGGTGGTTAATTGGAGATAAGGGTCATGCAAACATTCCTGCCTTGGCTGGCTTTGAACTGTGATCCTCAGATCTCAGCCTCCTGAGTAGTTAGGATTACAGGCATGAGACACCAGCACCCGGCTCTCTCTATCTTCTTTTTATTTATTTATTTATTTTTGCTATTCATCTTTGCCTTTCTTCTGGTCTTTCACTTATATTATACCTTATTCTCTGCCTCTTCTCTCTTCTTATCTATACCTACACTTTCCCGCCCCCCCCCCTTCTTCATTTGCTGTCTCCTTCCCTATTCTCCTTCCTCAAGGCACGGCATTATTACCAGATTATCAAGAGGCCCATGGACCTGTCAATCATCCGTAGGAAGCTGCAGAAAAAGGACCCAGCTCACTATACTACTCCAGAGGAAGTGGTATCAGATGTGCGCCTCATGTTCTGGAATTGTGCTAAGTTCAATTATGTATGTCTTGCCTGTTTTCCTCTTTCCTCTTTCCCAGTTTGCCCCAAGACTATCGTATTTGGGTCGGGGTGGAATCAAGGTGGGGGTATGTTTGGTCCTGGGCTTCTAGGGGGAACTTGGAGCAGAGTCCTGTGATATAATCTGCCAAGTATTTAAAAACTCTCTCCCACATTTGGCCTTAGCATGGTCTCAGGAGGACAGAGTGACTATACAACTTGGGTACCTCGTGAGGTCACTTCTGCTTTAATAGATGCTGCCAAAATGGTCATGCCAAGTTCCAGACATCCCAGGATAGGCCCTCCAGGCTTTGTATTATTGAATAGGAGTGTTTTGGAAGAGATGGGCTGGTAGAAACAGATCATATCACCCCTTTTTTCTGCCCTGTCAGCCTGATTCAGAGGTTGCAGAGGCTGGACGCTGCCTGGAAGTGTTCTTTGAAGGCTGGTTGAAGGAGATCTACCCAGAGAAACTGTTTGCCCAACCAAGGCAGGAAGACTCAGACTCTGAGGAAGTGTCAAGTGAGAGTGGCTGTTCCATCTCCCAGGGCTTCCCATGGCCCCCCTACATGCAGGAAGGCATCCAACCCAAGAGGCGGCGACGACATATGGTAAAGAGTTGCTGCCAGTTGGGTTGATAGCTGGTGGGTAGGTGATCAGGCAGCAGGGGGCACTGGAATCATAGGTACAGAGAGAAACTTGAAGTGGAGCTTCCTAGATAGCTACTAGTGACAGTGAACCCTCACTTCCATTCCCTTAGCTTAGAAGGAATACAGGGCATTACAGGAATCATCAACTCTGGTTACCGCTGAAGAGAGGTACTTGTTTAGGGTCACCTAGAAAATTAGCAGCAGAATCAGGGTGAGAAATGATGTCCTTACTCTAGCCAGTGCTGGTTATACTACACTGTCCAATGGTTGTGACATCCATAAGAAGAGAAGTACCTAGTTTTAGTGCTTGATCATTTAGGTTAAAGGGGGAAAATGAAGGAATCTTTTTTGGAAAGAGAGGGAGTGATTGTAATAGAACTTCTGTGGCCTTTTGGCTGGTTCCACCTGTGTAGACCTGAAACCTCAGTTTGATCCTGTTAAATTTCAGTGAAATGTATTGTCAAGTCTACTGTGCCAAAGTGTGACCAGCCATCACTAGTTATTTATGATACTTAGTGACTTCAGTGAGCTTTACTGTTGCATTCAAGGGGTAGAACAAAACACTGACTTTGGAGAATCCCAGTCTTGATCCTTACCTTTTTATGTTAATAAATCCTACATTTGGTTATTCTAATCCATAAATATATATTTTTTCTTTTTTTTTCCTCTCAGGAGAATGAAAAAGCAAAGAAAATATCATTTCGGATGGCCAACAGCATCTCGCAAGTATGAGAGCTAGAAGGAGACTGACTCTGGTGGCTGGTGTCCCATCTTGTTGACCATTCTTCCTCATCCTTCAGCTTACTCTCTTCCGAATGTGGATGTGAAATGAGTCTTGTCGAGCTGTGTAGTGCTCTTCTTCACCATTTGCATCTACAGCATTTGTTTGGGAGCCATAGTGCATCCACTACAGAGAAGATTTCAGTAATAAATAGGAAAGAGGGAGGTGTTCCTTATTGCCAGAGTAATCAGATGTGTAGGGTCCACTTGACAAGACCATACCTGGTTGGGCTCAGGAGCACCTGGTTTCCTTGGTGAATTCTGTCTGCTAAGGAAAGCAGACCTTTCTCACCTCTTAGTGTCCAGGACTCAGGAGTAGTGCATATGTCTGAACTCCTCCTGGCTCAGAAGTGGGTGCAAGAAGGGAGTAAAGTTTGGACATATGTGGATCTATGGAAGGCCTGTGATCCCTAGCCCAGAACAGCCAAAGACTGTCACTGTTTGCCTTTGCTTGTCCTGTTGTGACAGAGGTACCTGTCACTGGCAGAATAATAGAGGCATCTAGAGGCCACAGGTCTCAGTTGATGCCTATTCGGGTTTTAAATGGTTTTCAGGGTATTTGTTTTTCTGACTCCCTTTTCTGAGGTTTACTTAGGTGGCTGCTGGGAAAGTGTTCTGGGTGGCATGCATTCTTGTCTGAGGTGGGAGACTCTGCTGAGAACACTTACATCTTCTGGCTCAGATTTCACTTGCATCAAGAAGATATCTACTTCAAAATCTGCCACTGTGCCACTTACTTCGGGTCCATAGCACTACTTTGGTGTCTTAACTTGCCTTCCTTGAAGTGACTGTTGTGCTTGTCAGTGGCCACACCTTCATCATCTCCATCCAGATTTCTGGATCCTGATCCCAAGGATCCTGATCCCTGCTTGGGAGAACTGTGAGGCAGCTGCCTCTGGCACAGAGATTGCTGGGTAAGGAGAGTGACCCAGAACCAGCTTACTCTGCTGGGTCTCTCCTCCTGCATAGAGATTCTATTTTTCCACCTCTTCATGTTCATACAGCCAAAGATCAAAAGTGAGTCCTTCTACTAGCCTGCGTCTAGGTTGTCCACAGCCTAGAAAAATCCAGTACTCCATGGCACGTTTGTTTCTGGAGATGGGAGAAGGACACAGCAACAGGCCTAGGCAGTCCTAGAGGAAGTTTTGTCAAAGGTTGAGAAGGCTGAAATTCAAAGATGAGGAGCCACCAGTGTCCTTTGGTGAACTTGAAGTAACTTTAGGGCCTTAGTTCTTGGAGAACACAGGAAAAAGAAGCCATGGTAAAAGGAGCTCCAGTTTGCATTCAGGTGGATCTTCATGTTCTGTGCTCAATGTTTGTGAGCAAGTGGGTCAGAGACTTCCCAAGCAATAGCCTGGTTGAAGAGGAATCTCTTAGTAATATTATTAGGGAAGCTATAGACCTGCCATTTCAGTGGCCTGGTCTTGAGATAGTTCTTCCTAGTCCTGACATGGCATGACTAACTTTGGAAGAGTCTCAGGTCATAGTTTTATGATACAGTTTAAGGAAGTTCTTGTTTGTAGGGTCTTTGCTAACGAGAAATTGTATCTTAACTAGAAAGCATTTCTTCCCTTTTCTTGAGTCAATTGTACCACTCATTTTGTTCTTCATTAGGGTTAACATCACCTTTCTTCATAGCCAACTTTGCCCATTGACTTGATGGTTTTTCAGCTGCATATTATAAGCTTTTTTAAGTAGATGGGTTTCCATAATTTCACTATCTACTTTTAGGCACTAAGTCTTCAATGCACTACTGGTCAGGTAGTCTTTGGCCTTAGTCCTTGCTCTTTGGGGCTGATATGACTTTCTGGTTTGGCTCTGGTCATTTCCTTCTCAATTCTTAAATCTTTCTGAACAGTAGAAATGATCCCTGAAAGTATCATCTTTGCATAAAAAAAACTGGTTTGGCAAAGGTCTTCCTGTACTTCCCCTAGTAATTCCTGCTCTTAACCATCTTTCCTTTGTGTGGCCCAGATTCCTACTACCTCTGAGTGAGCTATATGGTGTTTGGTCAATGAGGGATGGTAGTCTTAAACATGATTGAGCTCTTTTCCCAGAATCAGCTGTAGACCATATTTTAATGAGAAATGCCTGGACAAAAACAAAAACAAAACCTTGTTTTTCTTCTATCAATAAAGTTCCTGGCTTGGGATCTTGGCAATGTGGTAGAGAGCCCCATATTCCTTTCCCATTGTAGAGATCCTGCATGTTGATAGGCTTCCTTTAGGCACCTGAGTATACAGGGGTGGGAAGTTGGGTGTCTTTTCCTACAAACGTTTGAGGCCTTAGGCCATCACACCTTCCTTAGACTGGTTATCCTACGACATTGTTCATCCCCTGGCTTTTCCAAATACCTATGGCCAATACTTTTAGTTACGATTTTGTTTTTGCATGAAAAAAACAGAAAATGACTTTTTAGAAATTTAAAAAATGAAACAGGACATACATGAACCCCCATTTGCCAAGTATCTGCCTTGCTCTTAGGCTCTTTGTTAATGCAGATTCTCATTAACTTGTTCCCCTATGGTCCCACTTTGAAGTCAGTTTAGCTTTTTTAGCCTTTGACAAAGTCATGCAATAAAAATATAGTAAGTTCTGGCTTCTTAGAGTATAGCATACAATCTTAGAAGAGAAAATGATTCTTGGCTGTGCTAAGAAAGGCAGTAGAGTGGTTTCAGTTGATGGAATTTTGGAGCAAAAATTGGTGCACAGTGAACTTGCAAAGTGTCTTCCACAGAAGATGGGTGTATTGACCCTTCCTGAGTACAAGCATGGGTGTATCTGAGAAACCCAGCTTGTCTCAGGTAGTGGTTGGCAGCCACCAGGTGCTCCTTATGCTCTGCTCCATGTCAGCGTCCTGATATCAGTCTGATGTGTTTGGTTTCCTGGACCCATTTTTGGCTGTGAGTGTTAAGATGTAGGCCCCTCCTGTTTTTCTTGTGTCCTTCCCCATTCCCTCTCTCATACTATGGGTAACCTCTTGCACTCCTTTGTTACTCTTGAGTACGCCCCTCCTGTCTTTCCTCTTCGCCCTCTGCCCTACTCACTGCTCTGGAAATTCCATGCTCCTTTAGTCCTATCCATTTCCATGACCTTGTCCCTCTTTCTTCTCCTAGACTTTCAGCCTTCTCCTGGATTTCTTCTCCCTAGCCTGAATTTAAGGCTTATCACACACTGACAATCTTTTCCGTATCCTGAACTTTCCCGTTCTCTTCAGCTTGTGAAATTACCAAATTTTCAGTTTTTGCCTTAGTCTGTTTTTTGCTCCCTCTTCCCGGCCGCTAAGCACGACAGATTCATAGTTGACAGTCTCAGCATTGACTGGCAATTCTTTAACTTGTTACTCTTCTTTCTCATTCATGTCCTTCCTCTCAGCATATACCTGACCTTATTGTGTATTTCACAAAGCAGAGATCCTAAAGCAGAGATCCCTGTTCAGGGCTCCACTCTCCTCCTGTTGAGCTGTGTCTATACATTCCTCTCCTTCTCCCTCTGTTTCTTGAATTTTGCTATTTACCCTCCAAGGCACAATAAATGAGGGGTTTGTGACCTCACTGACTCTGCTGCCCCCACTTCCTGGGTCCTCATCCTCCATTGTTTACCCCATACAATCTTTATAAACGATCAAGTTCTCCTGATTTAAAGCTTAGGCAATTGTCCCTTATCCTTTTTCCTTTGCCAAGGTTCTTTTTAAAAATAATCATTTTGCTTGGGTTTTTTTTCAGTCCTCTGTAGCTTTTTTTTTTTTTAGTGGGGGGCAGTGTCCCAGTCTTAGGGCTTGAACTTAGCTCCTGGGTGCTGCCCCTGACCTTTTGTGCTCAAGGCCAGCACTGTACTGTTTGAGGCACAGCTCCATTTCTGGCCTTTGGTGGTTAGCTGGAGATAAGGGTCTCACAGAAGTTTCTGCCTGAGTTAGCTTTGAACTGTAATCCTCACATCTCAACTTCCTGCTTAGCTAGGATTATAGGCAGGAGCCACCAGTGCCTGACTATTATTATTGTATTGGTGGGGGAGCGGTTATAGGCCTTGAACTCTGGGCCTGGGAGTTGTCCCTGAGCTCTTCAGCTCAAGGCTAGTGCTCTACCACTTTGAGCCACAGCGTCACTTCTGGTTTTTCTGGTGGTTAATTGGAGATAACAGTCACATGGACTTTCTTGCACGGACTGGCTTTGAACGGTGATCCTCAGATCTTAGCCTTCTGAATAGCTAGGATTACAGGCATGAGCCACCAGCGCCCGGGCTGACTATTTTTATTTTCAATACCATCACTGACTATGCAGTTGCCAAATTAAAGAAATGCTTTTCAGTCCTCAACTACCTTGAATTCTCCACAGCAGTTCATTCCCTCTACCATTTCATCCATTAAACATTCTTTTCATTTGTGTTTTAGGATACCACAAGTCTGGATTATTCACATTCTTTCTAGCCATACAGGCTACGTTCCTTCACCCAGGCATAGACAGGGAGTTGTGTCTTTAGTTGTCTATAGTTTCTCCTCTCCAGGTGTTGGGTAGGCATGAAAATCATAATTGCTACTGACCTATGCCCTCTGTATCTATTTTTGTTGAATCCCTTCCTTCTCTTGGACTCAGTTATCCTCATGCCAAGTATGTTATAAGTAAGTGCTGGAAGGAAAGAATCTGTGAGTTCTTCCCTTTGTCTCTCCCAGGACAGCACAGAGCAATCTTAGCCCATCTAAATCAGTTTAAGAGTATGGATTGGATTTTAAATTTTAAATTGCAGTCTGGCTAAACTAGGTTATCAGGCAAGAAGGCAGCTCATTACTATGATCCCATACCGGTTGGAACCTACCCGAGTGTTAGTAGGAGCCCAGGATTATGTAAAGTATGTTTCCATGGATGGTTCAGTACTGCATCCAGGATGAGAGTCCTGTCTGGTGGGTGTCTACCACTGATAACATTCCAATGAAGGGGAAACTGGGAAGTGCTGTG